TTTTTGGTTTTTCCACACTAAAAAACAAAGTTAAAAGACTATAATCCATGACATATTTTTTATTTAAAATAGGTAATAATTAAAATAAATAATCAAGCAAGAATTTATTGATATTTATAACTTTCACATTCAATTAAAATAAGTTAGATGTAAATATATTCAATATGTTTCTTCTCCATCACCAAATTTCATGTTTCTTCGTCACTAAGCCACAGAGTTAAAAGACTGTAAATGAATGACAAATAAATTATGTCTTGAAGGGTAATAACTAAAATTAAATACTTAAGCTCAATGGTATTTTTATTGAGTTTAATCACATTGTATTATGATATAATAGATGTAAACAATTTCTATATTTTTCTTCTTCTCCATCACCAAAATTTTGGTTTCTTCACCTCTAAGAAATTAAGTTAAGATACTACAAATGAATGACCCATAATTTATACATACGCATAACAATTAAAATTAAATAATCAAGCTCAATATTGTTTATATTCATCGTATGCACATTGAATTATGGTATATTACATCTAAAAATATTCAATATTTTTCTTCACCATCCCAAAGTTTTAGATTTTTTTATCACTAATTTAAAAACATAATAGACTATAGTAGATGTAAAAAACAAACTATATTTTATTTTTCTACTCCATCACAAAATTTTAAGTTTTCCCCACTAAAAAACAAAGTTAAAAGACTATAGTCCATGACATATAATTTTTTTATATAAAATAGGTAATAATTAAAATAAGTTATCAAGCTAGAATTTATTTATATTTACCATTTTTACATTCAATTACGGTAACTTAGACGTAAATATATACATCTTGTTTTTTCTCCATCACCAAATTTCATGGTTCTTCATCACTAAGCCACAGAGTTAAAAGACTGTAAATGAATGACAAATAAATTACCTCTACATTGGTAATCACTAAAATTAAATACCTAAGCTCAATGTTATTTTTATTCAGTATAATCACATTGTATTATGATATAATAGATGTAAACAATTTCTACATTTTTCTTCTTCTCCATCACCAAAAGTTTGGTTTCTTCACCTCTAAGAAATTAAGTTAAGATACTACAAATGAATGACCCATAATTTATACATACGCATAACAATTAAAATTAAATATTCAAGCTCAATATTCTTTATATTCATCTTATGCACATTGACTTATGGTATATTACATATAAAAATATTCAATATTTTCCTTCACCATCCCAAAGTTTTAGACTTTTTTGTCACTAAGTTAAAAACAAAATAGACAATAGTAGATATAAAAAACTAACTATATTTTATTTTTCTACTCCATCACAAAATTTTAGCTTTTTCCCCACTAAAAAAAAGTTAAAAGACTATTGTCCATAACATATATTTTTTATATAAAATAGGTAGTAATTAAAATAATTTATCAATCTAGAATTTATTTATATTTACCATTTTACGTTCAATTACGGTAACTTAGATGTAAATATATTCAATTTGTTTCTTCTCTATCACCAAATTTCATGTTTCTTCGTCACTAAGCCACAAAGTTAAAAGACTGTAAATGAATGACAAATAAATTACGTCTACATTGGTAATCACTAAAATTAAATACTTAAGCTCAATGTTATTTTTATTCAGTAAAATCACATTGTATTATGATATAATAAATGAAAACAATTTCTATATTTTTCTTCTTCTCCATCACCAAAATTTTGGTTTCTTCACCTCTAAGAAATTAATTTAACATACTACAAGTGAATGACCCATAATTTATACATACGCATGACAATTAAAATTAAATAATCAAGCTCAATATTCTTTATATTCATCTTATGCACATTGACTTATGGTATATTACATCTAAAAATATTCAATATTTTTCTTCACCATCCCAAAGTCTTAGATTTTTTTGTCAATAAGTTAAAAACAAAATAGACAATAGTAGATGTAAAAAATAACTCTATATTTTTTCCTACTCAATCACAAAATTTTAGGTTTTTCCCCACTTAAAAACAAAGTTAAAAGACTATAATCTATGGCATATTTTTTTTTATATAAAATAGGTAATAATTAAAATAAAAAATCAAGCTAGAATTTATTGATATTTACTATTTTTACATTCATTTATGGTATGTTAGATGTAAATATATTCAATATGTTTCTTCTCCATCACCAAATTTCATGTTTCTTCATCACTAAGCCATAGAGTTAAAAGACTATAAATGAATGACAAATAAATTACGTCTACATGTATAATCACTAAAATTAAATACTTAAGCTCAATGTTATTTTTATTCAGTATAATCACATTGTATTATGATATAATAGATGTAAACAATTTCTATATTTTTCTTCTTCTCCATCACCAAAATTTTGGTTTCTTCACCTCTAAGAAACTAAGTTATGAGACTACAAATGAATGACCCATAATTTATACACACGCATAACAATAAAAATTAAATAATCAAGCTTAATATTGTAAATATTCATCGTATTTACATTGACTTATGGTATATTATATCTAAAAATATTGAATATTTTTCTTTACCATCCCAAAGTTTTAGATTTTTATATCACTAAGCTAAAAACATAATAGACTATAGTAGATGTAAAAACTTTATTATATCTTACTTTTCTACTCCATCACAAAAAATTAGGTTTTTCGCCAATAAAAAACAAAGTTAAGAGACTATAATCCATGACATATTTTTTATATAAAATAGGTAATAATTAAAATAAATAATCAAGCTAGAATTTATTGATATTTACCATTTTCACATTCAATTATGGTAAGTTAGATGTAACGATTTTCAATATGTTTCTTCTCCATCACCAAATTTCATATTTTTTCGTCACTAAGCCACAGAGTTAAAAGACTGTAAATGAATGACAAATAAATTACGTCTACATGGGTAATCACTAAAATTAAATACTTATGCTCAATGTTATTTTTATTCAGTATAATCACATTGTATTACGATATAATAGATGTAAACAATTACTATATTTTTCTTCTTCTCCATCACCAAAATTTTGGTTTCTTCACCTCTAAGAAACTAAGTTAAGAGACTACAAATGAATGACCCATAATTTATGCATACACATAACAATTAAAATTAAATAATCAAGCTCAATATTGTTTATATTCATCGTATTCACATTGACTTTTGGTATATTATATCTAAAAATATTCAATATTTCTCTCACCATCCCAAAGTTTTAGATTTTTTTATCACTATGTTAAAAACATAATAGACTATAGTAGATGTAAAAAGCTAACTATATTTTTTTTCTACTCCATCACAAAATTTTAGGTTTTTCCCCACTTAAAAAACAAAGTTAAAAGACTATAATCCATGACATATTTTTTGTATAAAATAGATAATAATTAAAATAAATAATCAAGCTAGAATTTATTGATATTTACCATTTTTACATTCATTTATGGTAAATTAGATCTAAATATATTCAATATGTTTCTTCTCCATCACTTAATTTCATGTTTCTTTGTCACTAAGCCACAGAGTTAAAAGACTGTAAATGTATGACAAATAAATTACGTCTACATGGGTAATTACTAAAATTAAATACTTAAGCTCAATGTTATTTTTATTCAGTATAATCACATTGTATTATGATATAATAGATGTAAATAATTTCTATATTTTTCTTCTTCTCCATCACCAAAATTTTGGTTTCTTGACTTCTAAGAAACTAAGTTAAGAGACTACAAATGAATGACTCATAATTTATACAAATGCATAACAACAAAAATTAAATAATCAAGCTCAATATTGTTTATATTCATCGTATTTACATTGACTTATGGTATATTACACCTAAAAATATTCAATATTTTTTTTTACCATCCCAATGTTTTAGATTTTTTTTATCACTAATTTAAAAACATAATAGACTATAGTAGATGTAAAAAATTAATTATATTTTATTTTTCTACTCCATTACAAAATTTTAGGTTTTTCCCCACTTAAAAACAAAGTTAAAAGACTATAATCCATGACATATTTTTTTTTATATAAAATAGGTTATAATTAAAATAAATAATCAAGCAAGAATTTATTGATATTTACCATTTTCACATTCAATTATGGTAAGTTAGATGTAAAGATATTTAATATGTTTCTTCTCCATCACCAAATTTCATGTTTTTTCGTCACTAAGCCACAAAGTTAAAAGACTGTAAATGAATGACAAATAAGTTACGTCTACATGGGTACACTACAAGAAAAATGATGGATTGCGACGGTTATTTTTACAGGTTACGACGGTTAAAACCACCACCAATTAAATTCTACGACGGTTGTAGTACCGTCACAGAAACGTGTGTCCGCAGGCTGTTTAACGACGGTTGAAAAAATTGTCACACACAATCGTCGTATATTTCACGACGGGATTGAACTGACCTAAACTGGAGATAGCGACGGTTAAAAAAGACCGTCGTTACTAGCCTTTTGATTTTTATTTTCATTGTTGATTGTGACAGTTTAAAACTGTCGTGAACTCTATTTCATGACTGGTTGGAACTGACATAAATTGGAAATGACAACAGTTAAATACTGTCGTGAATATCCTTTTGATTTTTTTTACCATGGTTGATTGCGACGGTTTAAAACTGTCGTGAATGTTATATCTTGACGGCTCATTATTAATTTTTATATATTGTATTATATTGTTTTATAATATATTCTTTTATTTAAATTATTATCTACTAAAATAGTTATATTATCTTTTCTTTAAATTATTTATACAATAATATTTTTATTTATAGTTTTTTTTAATTTTTTTCTATCGCTTTTTAGCGTAGTAAAATTAATTCCAAAACTTAATATCAAATAAACGTGAGTTTCATAATCATGTAAAATGAAAGTTCCATAATCATGTCATGTAATACAAAAATCCGAAAACATATCAAATCATAATCTTATAACAATAAGTATCATTGTGCCAAAAATGAATAATTCTATGCGCAATTCAAGTATTTGTAAAACTAACAAGTTTGGAATGGGAAATCCATTCTTAGACTTGCATTCACCCTATCAATATATTCATCACAAAATTCATTCTGCTTTCTTAAGCTACGGATTGTCATAACACCAGAAAGGGTCTCTAAAAAGTGATGAATCACCGGAGCTTTTGTGATTGAATTAAGACGAGTCAATTCCCTAGATGTTGCAAGATAATATTTCTGCAAACCAGAACAATGTAATAATCAAAATAGGACCAAGTTGCAAGATAACATTACTCTATAGGAGTAGCTATATCATACCCTATGCCAGTTGTAGAGCCAGACCAGTGGAATTACGAGAAAGACAGTCTCCCAAGAGTTCTGGCATGTGACAATAAGGATACTGAATAATGATAAGTATGTTATCATTACAAAGTTTGTAAACATTGGAATTGTTATATCCACCCAAATTATATCAGTAGATACCTAAACAATTCATAACAAGAGTAGATAGAGTTAGAAAATTCAAACACTAATAAAGCATAAACCAAACATTAAAAGGGATGTTGAATGAAACTCACACGGCTCAAGATTCTGCCAGAAGGAGTGGTATCAAAGAATGACATTGGTGCACGAAGGATACTTTGAAGCATTCCAACGAAGAATCTTTGAGATGTCTTCAAACCCAAATACGTATACATGAAAGCTCTTCCTATAAGAACTATGCATGCAACAACAACTATAGCAGCATAGACAAAAATGAAAGTAAAAGAAGGAATGCCAGAACCATCAGAAGTTGCAATTGCTAACCAATAATCACCAGCTAAAAATGACAACACCCAACCAGCTGACATTGCTACTACAAGTGCTATTCCCCACCATCCGAATGCTTCTGTGAAATATTGTTTGTATACTTTAAGGCTCACATGTCCAGTTTCTCTTCCCTCGTCTTCAATGAGCTTTGCTGCAGTTTTATCATCAAACTTAGATTGATCTTGAGAGGACTGCTTTTCAACCTCTCTTTCTTTTTCTTTCGATACAATGCAGGCGAGTTTTGGAGACTGAGAAGAATCATCATTGGAATTATCACTTGTTTCTAATATCTCCATAGAGGATTCATGAGCTGCCACAAGTGCACCAAAATCTATGCCTGCTTTGAGAAGTTCATCATACTTTCCACTTTGCACTACTCTTCCTTCACGCATCACCTTTAAAGTTGATGTCATAATATAAGCTAAAATATAATATCTAATACTATTGGTAAGATTAAGATAAGTCGGGACAAATTGAATTTAACTTCCATTTACAGAAAAACTTAATAATTTAGGGACTTGTGAGCATATACATACCATGATAGAGTCAACATTATGCAAAAAATCAACTTGATGAGTTACAAGTAAAACAGTCTTATCTTTGAGAGTTCCCATGATACATTCTTGCAAAAAGATGGAGAATCAGTTGTGATTTGTATTACAAATTTAAAATGACAATTCATTTATAATGGAAACCAGTATCATCTTGATTGATACTATAATGTATTGTTTATAATCTGAAAAACCAGAACAATGTAATAATCAAAATAGCAGAACAATGTAATATTTCCAAACAACATTGAAGCAGGATAATCTGAAAAAGGAAAATCTCACCAACAACGTTTTGACTCGTCTTGAATCGCAGAATATTACCAAACATTTTTTCATTAATTGTGAAAACAATTCTAATGGACATGGGAGATTCGGAACCGAAACAGGAGCAGTCCAACTTCCTACAGAACAAACAACCATTATAGCAGGACCTTTAGAAGGATTTAATTTGAACGGGCATATGCTTCCAACATTAAGGTATACGTGTATGCATCGGGTTGTAAATCTGACTTTGCAACCTTAACTTCCTCAAATAAAACTTTAGCTTTAGAAAACATGTCATTCTAGCCGTAAACTTTCAGCATGATATTTACTGTCCCTATGTTAAGAGCACAGTGGTCTTTCATAAATTCAAATATAGATACACAATCATCAATGTGCCCACCGTCCATTGATGACCTAATCATGCCGGTGAAAGTAACCTCCACGGGTCTAGCGAGAGGAAGTATTTTTATCTTCTCAACCTACAAGCCATATTTCAATGAAAAAAATACTTTAATCAGGGTTTTGCGAGTATCTGAATGACAAATTTGGAGTTTAATTGAAAAAGAAAAGTACCTCTAGAATAGCATCTTGCCATCTACCACAGTTGCAAAGGCAACATGCTAGTTCATAATATACACTAGCTGTTCCCATAACGCCCCGTCTTTCCATGTCCCTGACAACTTTCACAGCTTCATCAACTTTACCTTCCTTCCAAAAAGTTCTCACCAACACTAAGGAAGAGAGGAAGTATATAGTAGGCCATCAGAATAACAGTTGCAAATGATATGAAAAGTAAAACACTACCTTTATATGTAAGGGCTTCTGGAACTTCCCCACTGCTCCTCATCTTTTGAAATAACTCATGGACAAGGTCATAGTTGCCCAATTGCAGCATTACCTTATAACAAGCATCACCTGTAAGACTTGATCACATTTTCAAAAAAGTAATACCATAATAAATCAACCAAATAGATTTTTCGAGAATAGTTCTCCCAAAACAGCTTATATTGTACCATGTTTAGTTTTTTGTTTGCGGCATAAACAAAGATGACAACATAATAACTATAAACTTAGAATAGCAGTTATCAATTTGATTATGTGTGTAGCCTTGTAGTGAAAAGTAAGAAGAGCCAAGTTATTTAGTATATATTTTTTTCAAGATAAGTTACTTGTTGTCGATATTGTAATCCTGTAATTACCTCCATCGCAAGTCCATAAGTAGCTCCATTAGGTTTTAGACCACTTTCCCTCAGTTGCTGAAAAACCCATGACACAACTTTCCATTGCTTTGATGGAACACAAGCATTAAGTATCTAACAGTAATTGAAGACCCGTCAAACTTTTTATGAGAAACTGCATACATTTCTCCTCTACTGTATGTTCGTCCATCTCTCGATTCCTACAAATAAGAACAAATATTAATTATTTTTACCATCAGCAATATATTCAACTCTATATAGATTTAGACATACCAACTCATGTTTCTTCCTTGCAAGCGAACATCAATCATTTGTTACAAACAAGAGAACATCAATAGGATTAGAAATGTGAAAGAAAAAATGACATTTACAATGAAAAATTTGCTTAGTGGGGTTTCTATGTGGGTCTGTTGGTTAGGAACATAGTCCCTTCAATCTGAATTATAATGAGGACAATTGATTCATAGATATGGAACAAAATTACAACAGGTCACTCGGTTAGGAATGAGTCCCTTCAATCTAAATGGTGCAGTAAGATTTGGTTAGAGCCTTTTATAGCAGGTCACTTGACAGCTTATATAAAAGCTGATTGTTGTAAGTTGTAACAGAATTGTACAATGAAAAACAGTAAACATAATTTGAGATCTAGAATCTCTCTCTGCAATTTTAGAGTTCTAATATAAGGAAATCAATAAGGGAGAATGATAAAGAGTAAACAATCCCAGTCTTTCTATTTAATCCAAATAGTGAACAACAAGACATATTTGCACCACTAATTAGGGTGGAAAATCCTGGTTTACTATTCTATTTACTTGTGAGCCTATATCAATAATATACCAAATGCAGGAGAACTCAATATAAGAACTGTAACTAAATTGACCTAATTACTGCTATAATGCATATTTTCCAAGGCATAAAGTTGTACATCAGGAAAGTTTACTTCAACAACAATCCTGCAATATAATGTGATCAAATCAATGGTTTTTATGCAAGACCATCATCAAAAGAAGCCCACCAAAGAATATGATTTTTAAGCAACTATAGTCAAGGATGGATCACATAAGTTATTGGCATTTAAATTTTACTCTTGTATGCATTGTCCATCTCATGACACAGGCACTGGTTTTACAGTTAATGCAGATTTGATTCCCAGTTGAACTAGATGACCCGATCTGGTTCTAGTAGCACTGATTTCCATAACATTTTGAGTTTAATACCTATAATGTCCAAACTACTAACTGAAGTTTAATATTGGACATTTCATACAGAAAATTAGAGAGCAATTCAAAAGTAAAATATAGAGGAATTTTTAACTCACTGGCATGTGGACGAACTACAACGACATTACGATAGCTAGAATGAGCAGTAAAATGTATTATTAATTGAGGTTTTAGGGACTTGAATGTTCACTAAAAACATCATTAAAAGAATACAAACTACTACTTGATAGTTGAAATAAAATAGTTTGTGTTACTATGTTTGATATAAACCATTAACATAAGAGCATAAAGAAAGAGTATGCATTACCTATGAGATTTTCTTGGAGTCATCTTGAAAGAAAATAGTTTGTTGTTACTATGTTTGATAACTCCCCTGTTCTTAACAGTATCAATGTCCTTTGCTGCTTCTGTGACTACAAATAGGAAAATTAAGAGATTTTAAATTAAGTTAATAACGAATATCACCCTTAATAAATAAACTAATCTTCTAGAGAAAATAATTGTAGAAAATAACAGCAATAACACGTTTAATGCAACAAAAAAAGCACCAAATTTGGCTAGTGTGCTCACAGCACTGGCCCTAACAGTCGCATTCTCAAGATGTACTATGTTATAAATATAAAAAATATATTTGTCAGGGTCCAATGTTTTTGGTCCTTCAATTTGAATGAAGTGTAATATCTAAGATACAAAGGGGGCAAATAAAATAAAATAAAAAAAGGTAAAATTCCAAATGCACACAAAGTATATGACAAAACACAATCAAAGTTATCACCTGCATTGACAAGTAAGTGAATTGAAATCTTCAATGAACTCACAAAGATGAAGCAACCCACTTTCCTTATAGCATCCAGGATATCTCTATTAAGAATTCACTATTAAATCATTAATTGCGTTTTTGTAATCGAAACCACCTTCCTCCCTAAGAATGTTATTCAGGAAAGTCGTCCTCATAATAATATCATAATAGAAATCTATAATTTAGACTATTTATCAAGGAAACTATTTAAGCGAAAGATGTAACATCTGGCTGAGTTCAGTCAGGTTGGTCACAGTCTTATGCAAGAACACAACGCTATCTTGCGTGCTTCTCAATTAGTTTTGCACCTTTGTGAAGGCCACATGCAAGACTACCATATGAATTCTTTAGCACAAAAACACTTTTGAAACAACAAACTCTTCACTGTATAGCAAGAATATCATGAAAAAGACAACGCATAGAAGAATCACTACTTAGACAAAAATACTCGAGACTAACAGACTAGACTACCAAACTCTATAGGACATGCATACCAAATACATATATATATATACAAACAAAATAATGAAAACAATTATTACTGAAAGACCCTACAAAGAATCACTTTCATACATTGAAAAATAAGTATAATTAGTAATTCCATTATTTTAAGCTATGTATTGACCTCTAGTTAATTCGGAAATATATTACTAAGAAACTTCTAATAAAGCAGAGCAAATTTTGAATATTTTTGAGATTTATAAATAGAGCCTTTACTTGGCAGAAATGGTGATTATAGTGACTCCCCGCTGCATCATAAAAAATCCCAGCTAGACTTGCATTTTGAGGACTGCAAAGTTATTGCCACCAGAAAATAAAATTAATAAACTATGTAGTCTACACAACTTATAATGAATTTTAATTACTAACATAGAAAAATACAACAATAAAGTCATATCATAATTTCAAAATCATCTAATGAGAGACCAAATAGTTGGAGTCATATATTGTTCTCCTACCTACAAACATTTCCCAAAATGCAAGATCCTGAATGATATATCCAAAGCCTAGTTAATCTTAGAATTTAGAAAGTAATATATGTTATATTTCTGCAATGCCAAGTTAATGATTCAGCTTTTTTTCATAATCATTTGCTTTATTATTCATAAAAATATGGATGTTCCTCAACTTTGATTTTTTACTATATTATTCTACCAAAAAAGAAGTTCATTTGCAAAAAGTCTACTAGATATAGTGGTTGACTAATTAGAAGTTAGAACTAGTACATCTCAAGTTGAGTTCAAAGTGCATAATAACTTGGCATCTATGAGATCGCTTGGTTTCCAAATATAAAAGTCCCCATTGCCCCAACAGTCACAGGATATATAAAAGCATTATGTCACTTTATATGTTTGAAGCTTATCACATGCGAGTACTTGATAAGCAGAAAATTCCTTCTAAAAAGTATGTCTAGATACAACTAACTAGTGAAAAGGCATAAAACCTCACAGTGAACATAAATTATGGGCTCATCATGCCTGCAAAAAATTTAACTCTAACTCTGCCACCTCTTCTGACTGTCAACCATAAGTGAGAAACATGATATATTTTAAATTAAATATATGTAATGAACATGAGATT